AATGAGTTATTTAATATAAATAAATGCTTTATTCAAATTTCAATTCAAACTTGGTATGAAACTTTTGCAGTGCTAGTAGAACACTATAAGCGGTGCCTAGGGAAGAAATCTCTCTACCTTCATGAATATTTTTATTTTAAAATCTTTTATTTAAATTATCAGCAACTTGAATAGGAAGTAATTCAAATCTAATTCACATTAACATATAATTTTTTTAATGAAATCTCTCGTTTGAAGGTTTTTCATAATTAATAATAGAGTTCACAAAAATGAATGATAGAAGGAGAACATGACCAAAGATCTTGTATAACAAAATAATCAAAAATCAAATTTAATAATTTATTTAATTTTATCTATCTTTTCCAGATCTAATTTTTCTATTTAATTGTTTTAAATATTTTTAGATTTTTTGAGTCAAAATAAAGTGTTGATAGGGTACTACATTTTAAGAGACTTATTTTGTGTTATTTAAGATTTTATATATTTTTTAAATTTACATATATTTAAAAAAAGGAATTAGCTTTTTTTTAAAAATAATTATACATGAAGATATCATATGTCAAAATCTTGAATGTCCACAACCACTCCAACTCATAAATCAAAACTTCAAACAAATATTTATATTTTTACCTAGACTATTAAGACTAAGTGTAAACTTAGATAAAAATATGAACTTTAACCTTATAAATATTCTTGGCGACAAGTTATAAACTATGAATATCACGACCAACAAAAATAAGATGAAACAAATTACTTGAATGAATTGAATTTGTCTATATATAAACTAAGACATACATTTCATGATTACATTTAAAGTTGAGAATTTACTCTATTAAAATGTTTCCAGGATTCACAATCAAAAAAATATGCTATAACTTTATCCACTGCATCATGTTAATGATGTTATATCATATGTTTAGTAGTCTTTAGAGACATGAATAATTTTTATAGTCTAAAAATAATTAAAAAATATCTATTTTTTTTATGTAATAAGAATCATTCCCCTATTAATTTTGGACTTATAAATCATATAGCAGATGGAAACAATGATTAGTCATTTAAAATGTAAGAAACAAAAAAGATAAGAGATAATTTAATATAACAATAGACCTTGTCATCTTAAGTTCATTTTAAAAGGTTGAAAAAATGAACTTCATCATTATTGGCTAATTTGCTATCCATTCTTGTTTTCAATGGCATGATGTATTTCACCTTTAAAATTTTTAGCAATGCATAAAATGTGTAACCTCTTGAAATAAAGAATTGATTATGTGTTACCATTTAAGTTGCCTTGTTTTCACTTTTGTTTATTTGCTTGCTTACTTTGTTCTATAAGTATATTCTTTATAATCATAATGAGACATTAAGTCCATTGTCTACACCTTTTTGTCTTTTTATATCTGTGTAAAGTTTTCAGATTTTGTATGTTTGAAGTCAAGACTTGATTTTCTAGGATGAGTTATTTTTATTTGGCAAGTGAACTCAATTTTTATATGACCTTGGATCACGCTGCATTTTGTTTGCTTGTGATCTTATTTTGATCATCTTGTTGAAAATTGATTCTTAGATTATGAATGATATTGTTCATGTTTAACTTTGTAACACTCTAATGTGCTTGGTTAAATCTGTATTTTTTAGGTAGTATCACATGTAAAAATTTAAATACATGTTAATTTTTTTATAATGAATTTAGCAGTATATAAGTTTTTTATTAGCTTATTTCCTTAAGGTAGAATATTTCTTGTCTATTTGATGATTTTAACATTATCGGCTTCGCTTAACCCATTATATGACTTGATGATGAACATCTATACAACAATCGATAATTTACTGTAATTTTTACATCTATACCATAAGGGTTCATTGAAATCTTTTAAAATATAAAAAACTTAGTTGCGTTTGCATTTGGCTTTTCATCTATAATTAAATATTCAAATCTCATTGCATTCATTCCTATAACGGCAACTATTATCATCTACAACTATATGTACGTTGTTAAAATTAGAAGTCGACCCAACCATATTTTCTATCATGGTTTCGTAAGGAACATATAGTCTTTTATATGCAAACCAATACAATTGTTTTTCTATAAGCCTTTTTTATAGAAGATACATCATAACAATACCTGGATCAATAATTTTTTTTTTATTTTATACTTTTTATATAGACATATAATACCACCTTCATTATTTTTTTTTTTGAATTAGATAACGTATAATTAATAAAATCCTCAACCTCATTACAATAATTCATTTTACATAATTTTTCAGGTGAAACTTGATACATTTAAGAATGATCATCCAAAAAAAATAAATTTTCATATGAAAAAGCTATAAAACAAGTAAACACACAAATAAATTACATATACTATATCAAAGCGCAAAAAAAATTAACATTTTAAAAATGGACAAAAAGTGAGGTTATTTTACTTGCTTGAAGTGGCAAATCTTAAGAAAAAATTGAACTAAAACAAAGATTTTGACATATTAAGTGTCGGGGTGGTGGATTCAGGATAATAAAAGCTTGATTTGTGATAAAATATAAGAGGTATTGTGTACTATTTTTCATAGTAGAAAAAGAAAAAGAAAAAGAAAAAATAGGGGAGAGTGAGAGGGAGAGGAGGAATACTTTATTAGATTATAACTTAAATATTACTGATGGATATATTTTCTTTATGATTATGTCTGTTGTAATGACAAATCATTACTTTTTCTATTCTTTCATTTTCAACTATAATTCTTTTAATATTTATCAACAAAATTTTTTTATTAGTGTATACTGAGGAACATAACGAGGAAAGATTTTGTCAATAAATGTTACTATAATTTACCAATGACTCTTGTTCCATTAATAATTTTTTAGTAGTGCTCTTGCATTCCTAAAACTTAGTAAGATGTCTAAACTAGCTTGCTCATATTAGATATGTGATTTGTTATAGGATGGGTTGAATTTTTTAAAGCGTAAAAAAATAATATTTAGACATTGTTAGCGTGTTTACAAGAAGAGAAAAAAAAACACAACTTGAGTAATAGAATTTACTGAATCTAATAAGATGGTTTCATTTAATTATATAAAAATAAAAAAAGCAAAGACAGTAAATTGATCGATCGAATCTTAAAAAAAAAAAAGGTCATAATAATAACTAAAAGAAAAGGAATATTTTTCAAAAGGAAAAAAATATAAAATCAAATTTCAAGTTAAAATATAAAATTAAAAAATAAAATAAAATAAAGTGTTTCGAATCAACCCAATAGCATGGCAAACAGGCAATCCGAATAGTAAGATCGGTCAAACTCATAAAAAGTAAATTAAAAATATTAATAATAATTAATTTTCAAAAATTAATATGTAGAAAGATAAAATTAAAAAAAACAATAAAAAAAACAATAAAAGAAATCTATAAATTCTGGTAATGTTATCAAACCAGAATCATACAAACTAAATGATATATAGGCGTAAAGGTTGGTATCATCATACAGTGCAGAATTTGACATACAAAAATAATCTGAAGAAAAAAAAAATCATTGAATTTTACTTATTTCTCGAAGAATAAAGGGCAATCATCATATAATTTGGCTTTTTCATACAGCCCACAAGTTTAGTTTTTACGTTTCTTTTTTTCCTTGATTAGGGCGTTCCTTCTTCTTCTTCTTCTTCTTCTTTTCCCTTGTCATTCGTGCCTCAACCTTCCCATCCAGCTGGTATTTACTTTAAACGTATTTCTGTAGCTTTGTGGGAAGGTGAACTCTAATTCTAAAGCTGTGTTTGATTAAGATTTTTTAAGAAAAGGGATATATATATATATATATATATATATATATATATATATATATATATATAACAGGGTTATATTTGATTTAAAAAAATAGAGCTAAATATATATAAATTTTTTGTACTTATAAAACAATTTTAAAATGAATTTGTATTTGTTTAAACTTAAAAGAAAGAGGAACATGTTGCTTCTATAATCATTATTTATTTCGCCTAACTAAGAATTGGTTGTTGGGACTCAAACATCCCAGTGCATTTTGCTGAAAACCATATAAAAGAAAAGGGTGATATTTGCTCTTGATGTGTATGTTTCTTCACCTGCAAGACATTAATTAATATGGATTATGATCCTCCCCTCTTTATACTTTATTATCCAGTTAAAACTTATATGTCTTCCTAGGTAGAATCAATTAATGTCACAGTGGTAGCCCTCAGATGTTGCTCTTTTAAGCACTCAATTACCCGTCGACCTCTGTATCAATGGTAGACTCATACAAGGATATTTAAGGAGATCTTCTTCCAACCAGACTAACTGGCTCTATATCTTAAACTTGAAGCCTCAGCAAAAGCATCCCAAATCTAACTAACTATATATCTATTAATTATATATCCAATAAGCACTGTACTCAGGGGAATTTGAACATCCGTCCAACTAGCCTATGTATGGCAAATTAACTACATGTCTTAGAGTTGACAAGCATGCATGGAACAATGACATTTTATCTTATCGCGTGTGTGTGTCCGCATCCGAGTGGATGCACACGTTAACGACCATGTAAGCCTCCAGTGGCCATCATATGAGCAATCAAGGACTCGAACCTGAGACCACAGAGGGAGCAAACTCTTTAATCCTAAGTTCTTACCACTTGGCCACCACCTAGATGATTGGAACAATGACATTTTATCTTATCAAGTCTGTGTGTCCGCATCCGAGTGGATGCACACATACATATATGTATATATATAACGTAACCAATTTGACAGAGAAAGCAAAGAAAACCTTACAACCAACTTGAAATCATGAAAGCTGCGAAGCGTACTATTGTTTGCTTGCACAGATATATCGAAAGAATCATCATCATCATTACATAGCTTCGGAGTTTGGTCTAGTTTAGGTTGGTGGTTTGTTGTTCATAAACAATACCTCCAAGCCCCACTTGAGTAATTCCTACAACAAAAAAAGATATCCAGTTTTCTCATCGCTCTCAATCTCTATCAGATACAATTACATACCTATGTTTTCCAACATCTTATTATCATATATTGTTTTATTACTTCTTATTATTACCACTATTATATGATGCATGAATAATATGAGTACTGATGATTAGGTTTATATACATAACCCCATTAATTGCTTAATCTTTACACCTCCCTCTTCTTCAACCAATCAAATATTCAAAAGCCCAGACTATAATCCATGCATTTATTTTTAGATGATCAACGAGGACCCAGCAGTAACCTGTCTTGGTCAGTGAGGGAGTGGCGAAAGTGGCATCTGTGTCCATAAGGGCAAACCCCGCCAGCAAGAACCATACGGCAAGCTTGAGTCTTGTACCTTGGGTGCCTGATAACTGGACGTAGCTCGCCAATGCCATGAGCGAACTGACAATGGTTACCATAAGGACACGTGCCTGTCTCTTGCCACTTGTTGCATAGCTCTGTCTTCCACATCCCTTGATTAAACACCTCCAACTCCATTCCAGCGGCAATTTCCTCCTCCGATCTCTTTTTCCCTCCTCCTGGCACGTACACCCTCTGCTGCATCTGCACACTCTAACGTATATAAAACCCCTTTTCAATCACAACAAATTAAAATGATGATCTTTTTTAATTAATGCAAGAAATTAGTCGGCGTGAATGATATTCAGATATCTTTTTTGATCAGATTTATACTATTGGCATAAAATATTGCACAGCCAATCCTTAACCAGTATTCTAAGGATCAAGGAGCATAAATTTTATCACTGTGATTAATTAACCAATAAATCAGTACCCTTTAAATAAAAATTATCCAATTTTAATTGTGCATATATTCTTCTTCTGGATTATTGGCAATAGACTCTATTGTGGAAATTAAGCTTTAAGTACATGTACATTACAATTTAATATCTAATTCGTCTACCATTCTTTCAATTAATTCTGTATTTTGTTGCAAAAATAAATAAATAAAATAATATTATTATACATCCGATCTGGACTAACAGAGAACCGATGATGGGAAAAAATATACGGCTATTATTAGCCAATATAAAATAAATATAACCCATCAATTAAGAAAATAAAAGAGACTAATAAATTGTGAATTTCAAGATAACAGTGCGAACAGGAGAGGATGATGTTTTAAATATCTAACTGATAACTGCAGTTCTAAATAGCATAACCGGACGAACTGGACACAGTAACTGAAACGAACACACAGTTCACGTGCTACGTTGCATTGCAATGGAAACTTGAAAGCTAAGCAAAACTCAAAGAAATCTCAACTAACCGATCCAGAAACGAGTTGATCGAGGTGACTCGCTACACGAGACCGAGTTGAGTTACCGCTAGCACTACCGCGACCGCCTCCATTGTTACTCACATTACCAGAAACCGCTTGATTCACCTTCACAAAACCACTAGATCTGACGGAAATACTCTTCGGCAACGTCACTCTCTCTCTCTCCACGTTATTAGCATTATTCCTTCTCTCAAATGCACCATCACGATTGTTTCCAAAAGTACGGTTCTGATGTTGCATCACGGATTCAGAAGAGAGACTGATAAGCTTGACAAGCTCACTATTTGCTGCTCTGAGATCTGCATTTTCTCGACGAATTAACTCGAGTTCATTAGTTAGGGTTTGAAGGCGCGCGAGAGAGAGATTGTAGTGCTCGCATAGGTCCTGGTACTCGAGAATCAGTTGAGCTTGGCGGAGGCGGTTCTCGGTGGAGATTTCATCTGCGGCGGAGGAGGAGGAAGGCGAGGCGTTGGTGGAGGGGGTGAAAGAGAGCGAGTTCGGGAGCTGTGAAGGTTTTGGCGGGAAAATCGAGTGGTAGAGAGAGGTGAAACTGGAAGCGAATTGATCGTGATCGCTTGCTTGATGGCAATCAAACGGTGGTGATTGTGCAGCTGTTTTTGAATGGGACGGTGGTGATTGTGCAGCTGTTTTTGAATCGGACGGTGGTGATTCTGTTTTCTCCATTTCTTTATATATATATATATATAGAGAGAGAGAGAGAGAGATGAAGCTTCTTTACAGCATATATATATATATAAACACACGCCAGCCGGCTCCTAAATCTGGTACTTACCAAATGATGATGGGTAATTTGTGAGAACCAATCGTGTTCGTTCTGGCGAGCTCATCTGTCTTTTTCAACACGTGGATGCAAGTTATTGGTTGGGAGTAGTGAGAGAAAACGGGGCAGTAACACGACAGCAAAATCTTTCGGAAAGATGTGTGTTTCCCGCCAGGGGAAGTGAAAAACCGTTAGAGAAACAGTAACAGAAACAGAAAGCAGTTTTAGAGAGAGAAATTAAAAAACAAAAGTGGGGGGAGAGAGAGAGAGAGATAGGCAATGGATGCAAATGGGAGAGAGTGCTATATATATTATAATTAGTTAGAAAGAAAAGGAAAGGTGGTTAGGAGGAGGAAGAGGAGGAGATGTGGGTGGTGGTGGTGGTGGTGGAGTGGCAAAGAAGGAAGGGAGGGAGTTGAAGGATGAATTTTGAAGGTTTTGAATATAATTGGGTATAAATCGTGGCCATTGATTGAGGTATGGTTTGTATGTCTATTTTAAGTGAGGTTTTTTAATAATTTGGTTTTAATTTGTTAGTATTGTTGCTTCTTTATCACTGCTTTAACTAACCATGGTCCCTCTTCTTCCTTTGAATGAAAACCATTGTCCTGTTGGTTCTATGACTATCTAAGAATATTTTTTTTTTACTTCTTTTATGATTTTTTTTTTCATAATTCATATAAAAACCATGCATAACTTGAGTTAACGAGTCATCCTATTTAGGATTTCAAAATAGTGATTTTTATCAAGTATTAATCCTATAAATACAAAATCTATTTGGTATTGTGAAAAAGGGCTGTACTGATTTAATCAGGGCACAAAATGGTTTACGAAATGCCTTAAAGCCTAATCTAAGCCCAATCCACACCGTTTAGTGAGAGCATGGCTTTGATAATCTTTTATAAGCATGGGCCACTCCATAGATTTTCGTTGTCCTCCAAATTCATGGATTTGTTTTTAATTCCTTTTCGTATTTTAAAATTGAAATGAGGAAATAAAATATATGATGAGGATTCAAGCGAGGACTCAATACAGCAAGACATATTCACGTATCACAAGCTTCTAGCTATATGTTCTATGAAATATATGACATTTTATTTATGTTTTATAGTTGAAGATTTGATACGTGTACCCTATGCTTCATCGCAAGCATAAAGATTTGATACGTACGTGTACCCTATGCTTCATCGCAAGCAGCTAGATTTTTTTTTGTCCTGTATAAAAGAATATGCAGGTGCTGACATTATGTTTTTCAAAACGTATAAAAAATTTAATCTCGAAGCAAGAGGTTAATGCAGGCGTTTGATAAATGCTAAATAAAAAACATATATTTGCCTATAGATATTAGCAAAAATGCTTTGTCGCTAATCAAAGATTGAGTTAGAAAATTCAGAGGAGCATGCACATTAAGATTATTAATTTTGCGACACAAGGAGATCTTTAATTTCTGTTAATTATATAATAATAATTTTTTTTTTAAGAAAACTGATAATTTAAACTTAATTAAAAAATAATTTGAGGTATAATTCCTCCTTTCCTACAAAAAATAACATTTTATCTGCTGACACAATCATTGGTCATCTTTGAAGGTTGGAATATCAAGCTCTGACCCTTATGACCTGAGAAACTCTCTTTTCAACCTTTACCCACCCGAAAACATCTAAACACCACCATTAATACCTTAATAAACTTATTGATAACTTTAAATTAGACTTTAATCTCTCTAAAAATAAAAAGACCTAGCAAACTTTTCCTCCAGTACAAGGACTAAAATACTATAGCATGATCCCTTTTGTTACAATGAATTCATTGATATCAAGAATAATATTTTCTATCACTGGATTGCAGCTAAAAACCTTAAGAAATCAGGATAAGAATGTAAAAACAAAACATGAAGACTAAAACATTTCAAAACGCGATTCGTGTACAACTAGAAAAAAAAAAAGAAGGCTAAATAATTATTTTGAATCAATAAAATTGAATTTAATTATGCTAAATTGAGCATTGACACTACATTAGAACCTATTTTTAACATTACAGAACTCCACATTTAAATAAATAATAATAATAATAATAATAATTTATCAAGCCCAATTGAGAGGATAAAATTAAAAAAAAAAAAGAGATAAGTAACAAAACATTAAAGGATTAACAAAATGAAAAAGAAAAAAAATATGAGTTACTAATGCATGAATATATGTTTCATTTCTATTTTTTTTTTATATATTTCTTCAATATTGCATTGCTTTGTTATTCTTTTTTTTATATATATTTCTTCAATATTGCATTGCTTTGTGTGTCCATGATTCAAAAACTATTTTGTGATTCCTTCAACAAAAGTTTTATAAAATGAATTAGAAAAATAAAAATCAAATTTAATTAAAAAAATTTAATAGGCTACCTTGTTATTTTGGAGAAAGTTAGCATGGAAACTAATAAAACAAGAGAGAACAAAGAGAAAAAAAAAAGAAAAAAAAAACAAATTATCAAAACTACATCAAAGCTCATCCATCAACTCACACCACCATTCCTCATAAACTATAATATCTGTTATACATATCAATTATTTTTTTTATTTTAATTTTAATTTTTAATTTAATAAAAAAAAGTTGAATATTTTTTTAATTTCAAATTCGGTCTTCAAAGATTTAATTATTTCAAATCAATAAAATTATTTTTTAACTTATCAAACTAAACATTAACCAAACCTCGAATCTTTTCTCAACATTATGAGTACCCAACATGATATCAAACAAAACAAATCATCAAGTTCAATCTCAAGTAAGCATCATCAAATTTAAAAAATAACAAAAAAAATTAAGCAACAATAAAAAGGCTTAAAAAGGGATTGAACCTGATGTGGCAAAATTAAACAGCAATAAAGAGACTTAAAAAGGGATTGAACCTGATGTGGCATAAAAGACTCTTAGTATTTTCTTAAGTCTCAAATTTGCTCCTTGAACTTGAATTATTTTAAATCAATAAAGTTTTATTTTATTTTGTCAACTCTGTCATTAAACTAATCTCTAGAATTTGTTCTTGACATTATAATAATTAAACAGCAAGCAAACCGTAACAAATGATCAGTACCATAAAAACTAAATGTGAAATAATAAATTAAAAAATAAAGTCAAGAAATGAAACTAAGGGGAAAAAAAAGGGTGCATTACAATCCACATAATAAATCATGTTTTTTGCACAATAAAACGTCAAAACATTTCCCGGAATCAATTTCATCAAGTCTCTCTAAATTTTTGCAGCTAAATAAGTACTGACATACTCCTAAACATCGAGCTGGTTTTTTAAATTATGAAACATATGGCATTCATGAAACCTACCTCTCTCAACACATCAACAATATCGGTAAAAAGACACTGAGGGTTTTGGCTTGGTGATTGGAGGAGTTTATTTTTTTGTTGTTTTTGGGTTTGAGTTTTTGTGTATATATTTATTATTCCTGTAATATTTTATATGTTTATTGGGTTTGCAAAGTATTTAGTGGGCTATGAGACTAGTTATGATACACGCAAACTGACCCGGATATCTATATAAATAAAAAAATATCAGTAAAATAAAGGGAAAAATAAAATTACAGAAGAGAATATAATATATACCACATTTAAAATTTCCATTTGGTATATATATAAGATAGGAAACACTCTCAGGAGAATAAGCAAGTACAAAACATATAAATCATGAACCATAGGCAAATACTTACAAAAAAATAAATTCTACTTGGTATGGGATAACTCACGATCTGCTAAGAAGTTCTTGTAAATCTCATAAACCTGCAGCCTCTTGTCAGATTCTTCACTCGGATAAACAAATTTAACTTGCCTTCCTGCAGTACTCATGTTACCAGCTCTAAGCATCAGGTCAGCGTAAGCATTCTTGGCCTTGCTCAACAACATCTGAGGAGAAGCAATGTTCTTCAATATTCTCAACTTGGGAATTGTTTTGATCTTCCACACCCTACGTGGGATACCTCCAATTCTTATGACCTTCTTCTGCCAGGTTGTCATTGCGCCATCGAGTCACGAGCTGTGCTGTGGATTGTTGTCAGAAGAGCTTGATTTTATACAGGGGGAGGGTAACATTTTGTGTTTGTCATGAGGAATTGGAGGAATGACGAATAAGAGGAGAGAAATTGGGAAGTATAGATTGATTAAATCTATTAATTGGTTTAAGAAGGATAAGAATCCAATAAATAACTGGAAAGATCTTTGCCATCATTCCTTCTTTATAATTTTTATTACATCCCTTTTAAGTGGGCTAACTTCTATTTTTCTGTACTTATTATTTTTCAATAATTTTGAATCCTTTTGCTTCACTTTCTACTATTCACTAAAAAAAACTAAGCCCACTCAACTAAGGCTCAAAATAAGAGTGAAAATTGAAGCGCAAAATAGTATTTTCATGAGTTTCATGTGGTATAATTATCAAATTTATAGATTGATTTTTTATTTTAATTTATTTTTTAATTTTTTTTATATGTTTGATTCTATTTCTATTTTTTTAATTATTATTTTATTTAAAATTATTTTTAAAATTAAATTATCTTACGATTTCATCCTCTCTTGATTTTGTTTTCATATCAAATTTGATATTCATTATTTTGATTGTTTTTTTTTACTTTGACAAATATTTTAAATTGATATTTTTTTTCTTCTAATTCTATTATTCAATATTAAATTGTTAAGAAATTAAACTTTTTAATTGAGCTCAAGTTTAAGATTTCACAGGATATAAATTTAAAAGATTAACCTAGATTTAGGAGATTGAATTCCATTATTATTATTATTGTTATTGTTATTATTATTGTGCTTTTTATTACATTTTTCACTTATTTTGAAATTGAAAATGATCCGAGTTATTTCTCCTTTTAATCTTAGATTGTTGTATAATTAAGTTTTAAAGTTTTATTCAGTTTGCTTTAATTTGAAGGGCTTACCACTTTATCATAACTAGAGCACAAATTTTGCATATTAACCCGGGTGGACTCGGGTCAGGTTCTCCTGATCATTTTTGAATTATATTTGTTTCTTTAATTTCTTTTTTTTAATATTTTACTTATTAAAAAATAAATTTTGAATTTTTCTCATTGTACTTTGTATAGGGTTATCAAGTTATTATTTAATGGTTTCTTCATTATCATGTAAAATCCGTCAACATTTAATTTTTATTTTAATTTTATTATTCAATTTTTAATTATTTGAAAATTTATTTTTGTGCTTTTTTTATAGCTTTTTTTAATAGAATTATCTCAATTTTATATCCATGATTGCAGAGCTAGTAGATTAATGTGATTTGAATGTTTTGTTTACTTTTTAATATATATATATATATATATTATATTTATTTAACATACTAACTTGAATAAGCTCAGGTCAGAATTTTATGATCTTTTTATTATTATTTTTTTATTATTATTTATTATTATTGTATTTTATTTTATTTATGTTATAAAATTAGCCAAATATATTACCTTCAATTTAGTCAATAATTCAATACTTAAATTTTTCTTCTTCTTTAAAAATATCTATATTTTGTTAACAAATTTTTAATTACGTGTCACCTATCTAGTTTTTCTTGAAGAAGGATGAATACAGTATGTATATTCAATGTGGTTTGGAACATACGGTGAATATGGTCCACATGTGAAAAGAATCGAATCGAGAAGAAAAAAAAAGGCACAGTATCTAGTTTTTTTTATCGCTTGTACGTTGCATACTGTTTTAGTCAACAAAATGAGGTTAGACAACCGTCCATAATTAATGTCCCAGTACCCTCTCTTGATTTAGACTATTCCCAGCCACGCATTGAAATTAGGATCTTAAAAAAAAAAAAACATTATCACACCACATAAAAATCTAAAAGATCAACACCGTTTCAAAAAATTTAATGAAATAGTTTGACTATATTATGTTTTAGAAACGTGAGATTGTAAAACTGTGTTTTTTTTTTTTTCTTTTTTTTGTCAAATGATCGAACCATTGTCAATTATTTTATATAAAAATTATAATTTTATGATTTTTTAAAAAAATAAATTTTACAAAACAAAATTAACTTTTTTCAACTTATAAATTTAAAAATAAATTATAATTAAATATGATTTTATCATAATTAAATAAGATTTTATTTCAAGTAAATTATCTAGATAGTTTAGTAAATATATTTATTAACCAATAAGATAGGTTTAAGTTTGAGAGAAAATCTAGTTGTATTAGAATAAAATAATAATCTAAAAAAATTATAATTTTTTTTTTGATAATTAAATCACATTTATTTTTTTATAAAATATTTTAGAAGTTATTTTTTTATAATATAATATAAATCATCAAATCTTTACTTATAAAAAATCTTACTAATATTTTTTAGTTTTGATCATTTTAAAATTTTCTTTATTATTTTATAAACCAATCAACGGATTAGATAAAAAATAGTATGGTTTTACTATATCCTGCTTTTAAAATATAATATGATAAAACTATGTTATTTAACCAAAAGTTTTTGCTTCTGTGTCAATTCACAGGATTTTTTAACACAATTTATTCTAAAAATTAACTACCGACTCCATAATTTAATGGTACTTGGATTCTTTCTAGAATCTGAGTTGAATAAACAAGATATTTTCTTACAAACTTGCGTAAGACATGCATATCATAATTATGTCTAAGCGCCTCTGGTTGCGAGATATTTATGAATTGAAAATTTTCATAAATCCAAATAAATGAAGTCATTGAGGCCGTTTGTTTGAAGTTAAGAGGAAGTCAATATAGAAAAAATGCCATTGTTTATATATAGACAATTAAAAAAAATTCATGTTTTTACATTTATTAACAAAAACATTACAATATATTGAGAACTACAAATGTCATGTACACGTGCTGGTAAAGACTTATGGTATATTATCGTGGGTTTATAAAAGAAATAAAATATAAAATATATATAAAAAAATATAAAATTAAATTTTTAATCAGCTTAATATTAACAAAATAAAATCAACAATTGTTTTTGAAAAAGTCATAATAAAAAAAAGAAAGGAAAAAAAAACCATACAGAAAAATACTGTAGCAATCTATTATGTTTCGTGAAGAAATCTACAATTATAATTCTCAATCAGTTCAATATTATAAATAATAAAATTAATAAAAATAATTTTAAAAAATTATATAAGAGAACACTGTAGCAATCTACAATGTTTAAAAAAAACTGTGATACTAAATTCTTAATCAGCTCAATATTTTTTTAAACATGGTTTTTAAACTCGGTCTCAAGTTCAACCTTTAAGCAAGTCCCGAGTCACAAGTTAGGTAAGTTGGCTAGAATTATTTGGACAACTAAATTTTTTTTATTTTACAAATATACAAAAATAACATTATTTCTGTCAAAGTTTCACAAAACAAAAATTCAATAGGTTTTAAGATGAGTTTTGTTTTTAAATAAATGAATTTAACAAAGAAATGGAGTCCATATTCTTTTTATTATGATTTTTAAACCCGGTCTAGAGGCTGACCTCAAGTAACTCTTAAATTACAGGTTAAGTAAGTTGACCAAGGTTACTTGAATTGGATGATTTTTTTCTTATACAACAATGTCAAAATTATATATTTTTGATAAAGATTTAAAAGATAAAATCAACAAGTTTTGTAAAATTTAACAAAAAAATTTAGTCCTTATTGATTTGATCATTATTTTTTTCTTAGTTTCATCTATTAACATTTACTTTATTGAGAATTTTGCTTCATGATTTTCTTCAAGTTTTTCTTCTATAATGTGATGTTGGCCTTATAATCACGGTCATGAGTTTAAAAGATTATTTTCAATGAATTTCTATTTTTTTATTATATTTTTTAAAAATTTTATTTTTAAATATTTGGTTAGTTATGAATTAACCTTTATTATTTCTTTTGTTTTTTTAATTTTGTTATCTTAATTTTATATCTCGAGTTATTGATTTGATGGGTTGACTTAAATTTTTTATTTTTTTATTTTTTTATTTAATGGATGTTAATTTTTTATTAATTCAATTTGTGTGTTATTTTTTTTAAAAGTAGATGAGGATGTTAAACCTAATCGACTCAATAATTCAATTCTCTTTTTTTTTTTTTTAATTTCAAGTTTTGCATGGAGTTTTTTTTTTACTTAAAAAAAATAACCTTGTCCGTGAAGTAGCGCAACTCATCTACGTGCCATCTATCTATTGATAACAAAACTCTGTCTCTCCCAATCTAAGAAAATAGTTTCATAGTACAAGGTCATATTTGTGTTTCTTTCCAACGCGCGAGCTTTTCTGCATCTTGGATCTTAGCCTCCATAACCAATCCATCCACAACAAGCTGTGATACTCGGACAATTAGAAGATCCGGGCAGCACGAGTGGCGAGTATTCAGATCCTACGACCACTACCACCTTTGAGCGGCGGTCTTCGGTGGATAAGCATCTTCTTCTTGTTGTTGTTGTGTTACTGTCATAGGCATTGGAATTGAATTTAATTCCACTGTTCATGTTTTTTTAATATAATCACGATCTTGATTGCTTCATGAAAATATATTTGGTGGGGACAGAGAAATCAAACGAATAGGATAGAATCATGAAAGATATGTGAGCACTAAGAAGTGAAACGGACACGTGTACAATTCTCATGTTGTTTTAATGCTTAACGGACTATAATCATTATTTCAAATATAATAATAATATTATGTTTTTTGTTAATTTTATTCTCATTAATTGTTTTTAAAAATTTAGGTTATAAAGTATAACATTCAAATTATTGTTTGTAAAATGAGAAAATGATCAAACTACATCATCCTTAGAGTAATTTACTATTTTTGTAATTTTAACTATTTCATATTTCTTTAGCATATTCTTATATTTTATTTTTGTTGTTATTCTTAAAAAAAAATGAATGAGGAAAATAAAAGAGAAAAAAATAATAATTATGAAAACTTAAATTATTCGGTAAATTCCAAGACTCATTTAAACTCAACAAGTTAAGCAACTAGACACTTTTTAAAATATAATTTAATTTAAACTCAACAAGTTAATCAACTAGACACTTTTTAAAATATAATTTATATTATTTTTAATATAATTATTTAGTTATTAAAACTAACATTATATAAAGAATAATTTTAACTTAAAAATTTAAAATATTAGATAAAATATAAAATTATGATTTATATTATTTTTTTATAACATTACTAGAAAATTGAAAAAAAAACACAATTGCTGACAATTATGATGAAAAATTTTGTTACTAATTTCAGATGAAAACAATGATGAGATAAAAAAAATAAAAAAATTCATTAACAATTTTGTCAACATTTTTTACTTCTCAAATTGTCAACAAAATTGTCATTGAAACTTCCATCCATGATTTTAAAATGAATTAAAACCCAACAATTCTTTCTTCTCTCCATTTCTTCTTCTTCTTCTTCTTCTTTAATTTAATTCAAACCTTAACTCCAATTTCTTTATATTTCTGACAATCCCCTCTTTAAAATACAATTACCCAACCTGCCAGCCTAACACAACCTCCCCCTTTTGATTTTATTAATTTCTCGTCAATCTTCACCCCATGAAGCAAGAAAACCTGACCATTTGCATTGTAACACCAACTTATATTTAAAGTTAATTTATTCAAAACTTGTTTGTTTAATTTGTAGTTGCATATATATTTAAGTGTTTTATTTTGTTTTATAATGATATTTTTGTTGTATTAATGTATCATTTGTATTCTAGAACTTGTTTGAGATTTGTGAAATTTAGTATAATTTTTTAACTTAGGTGTATCATTAATAATTGAAGAAACCAACAATTTTTTTTTTCAATTTTATGGTTAAACTAAAAATTTGGATTGTTTGCATTTCATGAATTATGTGAGGATTCTGTGTATAGAAGTTCAAAATAATTCAGAGGACATGTTATTTTTTTACTTGATTATTAGACAAATGGGTGCAAAGTTGCTTTTAGATTATTTCTAACGAGTTTTATGCTTGGTCAACACAATAGGCGATGATTCACTTGTTCTAAAAGTATCACGCCTCCCAAACAAACTCACGGCGATCCCAAACTCACCACTCTCATCATGACCAATCTACACGTACCAATCAATTCGACAAAGAAGCTGAATCTCTCCCATGATCAAGTTATCAATCACTTTGTGTCTTCTTTTCTGTTATTTGTTTGTAACTAATTATTTGAGATATTGCTCATATAAAAATTGGTCAATGAAAGCACAAAGTGGTTTGTATTGGTTCCAAAAAAAAAAAAAAGGGTAACAGAATGAATGAAATATGGGAGAGATTATTTTTCAAGACACCACTCAATTCTTCTTTTTCAGTTACCTTGACTATATATAAGTATTTCTATTAATTATATGCATAAGTAGCCAACGTATAATTAAATGTCGAAATTTACAATATTCAATTATTATTTTTTATCAACCTTGAGAAAATATGGACATACAAAATATTAAACGAATTAGAGGTAGGTTTCCACTTGAATATTACTCTACATTGTAGATAATTCTCTAGTCGCAAGCAGATTCTTATAAATCTCATAGATCAATCGTTTCTCAAAAGCTTCACTCGGGTAAATAGCTTTAACTTGCCTGCCTCTCGGAACCCTTTTGTTTCCAAAAACATGCGTTCCATCGGCATTACCAGCAACGCTAAGGATCATGTTAATATAAGCGTTCTTGAGCTTCCTCAACATCTTAGTTGGAGAAGCAATATTCTTTAAGATTCGTAACTTGGGCACTGCCTTTATCTTCCATGTCCTTCGTGGGCTGCCTCCAAATCTTGCTACGTTCGTATTCTTTCGGGCTGTGATCGCACCGTCGAGTCGCTGGTATCGCTTTCTTCTCCAGTATCTCTTCCAGGAACCATTAAAGAAGCGAGGAGCTAGTTCCATGTTTAGTGCTTGAGAGAAAGAGAAGGGAGTTGTGGATTTTCTTCTTCTTTCTTGATAGGAGGAGGAGGGAGTCGTGAGTTTGTGCTGTGGAATGGTGAGAAAAGAGTATAATTTATACAAGGAGGGGAGGGTTGAAATCTCCGGTGGCGTGTGAACTGAACATTGAAGATTCGTCATAGCACATGAAACATCTTGAGGAAGGTCAAAAAAAGGCTGTAGAGATCACCATCAATTTGAATTTATGACAATTATGTGGTCCAATATTAAAGGTCGTTTGTTTTGACTTTTGTTGAAGGGCAAGAATCAACAATACATATCCTGTCGAACTTGTGGCTTTACTAATATTTTTCTCTTGAATTGTTTACGGATAAAAAGTTATTTTGTATATGTGATGTTTATACGTATAGGAAAAATTAGTTAAATATTATATACATGGTGAAGAAACGTATGCATAATTTGGTAAAATATGCTTCCAAGTAAAAATAAATAAATCTCTTCCAGTGACTTTTATTTTTTACTCAAATTAAGTCGCGATTCGTTACTGTTTCTTTATTATAATGTTGTATAGGCGCGATGCTCTAGTATTTTCCAATTAATTATGAGCTCATATATAAGTTTTCTCTGGAAAAATCAGTAATGAAATTAGTTATAAAATCTAAATAACCTTGGTAGGTTGACCTAAGATTTATCTAACCCAAGAAAATTTAATTGAGATTTATTTTTTAAAAAATTAAATTAACATGGGTTAATTTTCTTGATATATAATCCGGATCTTGCCGCAGAACAGTCTGTATTGAATTCTAAAACTGTGTGACCAAAGCATGTGGGAGCCGTGATGTTGCAAGGAAAACGTGATAGTTGATAGCTTCGATGAAAGGGTGGAGGAGTCCATGATATATGGCAGCGAAAACAGTAGGAAATGGTTATACTAATAACTATTTTGACAATGCCACAAAAATTAGTCTTAATTGGCAATCAAGTTATGAATAGTCAGCTCCTAGAAGAGAAGCTGTGGATGATGCTTGCTTGCTTGGTTGCTTGTTTGTTTTTAAAGTCAAACTTTACATGTCTTTATTTTTTTTAAAAAAAAATCCATAGTTATGTATAAAAAAATATATAAAATAAGAAACCGAGAATATTTGTCAATGCGGTTAAAATATTATTTATTTAAAATTTAATTATTTTTTTATAAAATTATTTTTTAGTATTTTTGAAATGTTTTGATATATTAAAATAAAAATTACATTTATATAATAATAATAAAATATTATTTTAATACATTTTAGAATAAAAACTATTTTAAAACTTAATCTTTACCAAACTATCAAATAAACACTTCACATTCTTAAAACAAAATTATTTATTCCCTCATTTTCCTTTAATTATTTTGAATTAATTTCAAGTGTATTAATTCTTCTACAATGATGGAACTATAACAATGAAAATTTTAAAAAAAGTTTATAATTATTTTTTTATTGAAAAAAATTTATTTTTATTTTATCAAAATTAACTTTCATCAAGCAATAGGCCAAGCCCATATTTTAAAGATTCTTGTGTGTTTTATAATCGAATATTCTGAAATTAGAGACTATATATGACAAATCTAAATTTATAATCCAGCAATGTTAAAAACACACTATTTATATCCAAATTAATAACTTATTTCTATATATATATATTTTTAAAAAAAATAGAATATTCCACCACGTCAACCACAAAATTAATAAATTATTTCTATATATTTTTTTTTTTTAAAAATAGAATATTCCACCACGTCAACCAATTAAAAATGTTTTGGGCTAGTAAACTAAGTAAAAATTCTAAAATTTTACTCCCTTTAATCTAAGGGTTTTTCATCTAAAAACAGGGCACTCTCCCCATTTTTTTTATCTATTTATTTTGTATCTATCATTCTATTTCTATATTTACAAAAAATATATAGAGTGATGGCTTTTTACCGTAGCACTAGTTATAGATTAGTTTCTTTATTCAATCCTTTTCCTTTTTCTTGTTGCAGGATATCTCATTTGTATATATTTTTTCTTTATTTCTCATGCTTACAGTGAGTTATAGACCAGGTTTGAAAAAGTCAAATATTTAATGATTCTATCATACATTATTGGGGTGCGAAATCTTTTAGATAGGTATTCTATATCTCAACTAAATTCTTTTTAGTTAAAGAATTTATTTTTAGTTATTTTGAAACAATTAGAAGATTTGTCAGAAGAAATATAGGTTCTATTTCTAGTGATAACATATTATAGGGTGGTGATCCCGCTCATAAGGTCAAATCATAAATTGCTAAAAAAATTACCATTTTGATCTTTAGTAGAAAATATAAAAGCCTTCATGCTGGTGCAATTTGATATTTTCTAATAGCTTAGTAGTCATTAAAGAATTATTGAAGGACAAATACATCTTTTTAAATTTTTTAAATAATAAAATAACTTATTTATCTTCAAAATAAAAAAAATAAATAAAATTGTTTAGTAATGACTTAGAAAATAGATTAAAAAAAAAGACACATGTTTAAGGGTATTTTAATCCTTTTGTATAGTTTGTCTTTTTGTAAATTTCATATTAGTATTTTGATTTTTTAATTTTAAATAAATTATTTTACATTGGATAAGTAATTTTACTAGCATGTGATAGGTGTGCGTAATGTTTGAACAATGATTGCAACATTTCCTAATAGTTAAACCTACCCTTCTGCTATGGTATTGAAAGCGCCACCATGCCTCTACTGGTATGGTGCCTAACAGTAGTTAATGAGTGGTTCGTTGTCAATAGTAATTTTTTTTTCTTGAAAGATATATATTTGTTCTCTTTATTTTTTAGTATTTCAATTTCAATTTGTTTTCTTTTGATTTTTATTCTTGACCTTTAAGTTTTGTTTGATTTCAATGCAATCCTTTAATTATAATTTATCATTTTTTTTCTAATTCGGTTCTTATTTTTTTTATTTCTAATTTTTATTCTTAGTTTTTTTATTAAATTTTTATTAGTTTTTAATTTCATCCTTCAATCAAAACTTATAGTGTGTTATTTTTTGCAATTTGACTTTTATTTTTTTGATTTTTTTATTAAATTTATTTTTCTTTTCAATTTAACTCTCCAATTGAATTTTTTTTGTTACCCTCTAATTTTTTTATCTCAATTTTAACCTCATTCTTTTAATTATATATATATATATATATATATATATATTATATCCTTTTGTGTAGTTGATTTTTTTCTGTTTCATCCTACGACTTTTGATTTGCTGGGATTGGGCTTCTCAGTTTTTATTTATTTATAATACTTATGATCTAATAACTCGAGTCACAATTTTAAATAGTCAATGTGGTTCAACATATTTGTTTTGGCTCATTTTTTCTTCATTGTTCTACATTATTTTTTTTTAAAATAGTTTTTTAGTTATTTATATATTTTTTTCTATTAGTTTTTTAGTCTTGTAATCTAGGTTACAAATTTTACAAGTCTTTCTTGAATAATTTTTTTTTTAAATTGTTTTGTATGCATTTAAGTTTTGAAAATATTATTCTATTCATATATAATCTTTTATTTCATATAGAAGAACTTTATTTTTTAAAAAAAATATTTACTTTTAGATAATATTTCTAATATTTTAGGCCTTGCATAATTTTTTTCTTTTTTTATTCAATCAATAAATTTCTATTTCAATTATCTTTCATCAATTTTAATAATATAATTCAATAAATATAACTAGGTAAATATATCATTTTACGGGATCAAATATTTTAATCTAAATCTATCTTTTATTTTTTATAGTTTTACTTTTAGTTATTGTTAATAATTTTTTTTTATATAAATTGATATTGATGTACTTAATTAGATATCTGTTTTGAATTTTTAATTTAAATTTTGATTTTTTTATAAAAAAATATTGAAATAGTTGGCATATTTAATCTTTTTTGACAAAAAAAACAACCCACAGCAAAAGTCAAATAGTATAATATATGTGTACAAGCACTACCTCACAACCTAGTACAATAAGTGACAAAAATCTTATCCTTTTCTCACTTCATACAATGAAACCAAAGTCCAAAACCCACACGGACACTAAAAACTCCAACTCCCTTTGGAAATGGAACACAAATGGCAGAAAGAAGAGGAATGGAAATCAATTCTCAGTACCTGAATTCCTACAGGACAGCTACAAGAAATTAGAGGAAACAATTATGAGTCCTGGATGTGATGTTGGAATTGGAGCAGGCTTCGGCTCGGTAGGTGGAGTCGGGTATGGTGGCTGGCCATGGAACCATACGAAGCTAGTTTATGGGGTTGGTGCGGGTTGTGGTGTTGGGTTTCGGGTTTGGATATGGTAATGGTCTTGGACATGGTTTTCGTTTGGATTCTTTTGAGTCTTACTTCTCGGAGGTCGGATTCTAATCAGAAATGAGATGGTGATTTTTGGGGTTTGTGTTTATTTTTGTTGTTGTTTCGTTGTTGATTACCCGTTTACATTTTGTAGTATTATTTTGGTTTTGAACCCAAAAAAAAAAAAAACTCAATTTTTGTTTAGATCTGCATTCATTTTTCTTTCAAATTCATTGACTTGAGCTACAAATTGAAAATGATTTGCAACAAAAGAGTTACTAATTCAAAGGGCCTCTCATCATCCTCTGCAATTCGCTAGAATGACGATCTGACGTGATTGCATGATACCTCAACTATGTAAAATAGGAAATTGTCAAGAGAAGACAAGTAAACCTCTGAGGTCATGGAACTGAAGCAATTGACAAATGCTTTAGCGAACTCATGTAGCCTGTCTTTTTGATAATCCTGCAAGAACTTCTTTCAATCTGTGGGCAAAATAGCCTGGATCTTGAAAGCCATAGCCCGTTTCTTGCAAACTACACCTTTGAATAACATGCTTCAAGTTTGAGAATCGATTCTCAGGTGCAGAAACATTAGAGCATCAAGATTCGAGAACGAAAAGGGTTTCCAGATGTCTGCATTACTCGAAACTTTTACCGCTTTACAGAAGCAAGTGCAAAGCATGAAACTGCTCATAGTAAGCACAAGGTCCCCAAAATACATACCGGACATCTGATAATAAACACTAATATAATCACATAAGCAAACAGAGTGTCAATCCATAATAATGGCCAGCTTTGATTACTGGAAATTGTAAGGAATTATGATCACCTATGAGCAGAAAACAAAATGAAATGTTGCATGCTCACTTGAGAATACAATGGATTGGTTCCTGTGTCATGGGAACTGGTTATGCAGTAGACATGCAATATGCTCTCAAACACCAACCAAATTGTCATAGCAGTCTACAAGCCTTTTCCACTCCAGCATTAGAAGCTTCAAAGCAGGCTTTGAAGTTCTTAGCATCATATCTTACCATTTCCATGATCACAGTTTGAGGTTATCTTTAAATCCAAAACCAGGGTCAATGCAGCCACCAGCAGCTAAATAAAGCCAGCTAAAAAACAGCAAAAAGCCCAACTCAAGAAATCAAACAGAAACCAATATTTCTTCTTCAAAAGGTGAAGCTTGAACCAAGAAACAAATAAACAGAGACAACATAAAGTTTTTTCTTCCACATATTAAAAGTAAAAGCGCAAATCAAATTCCTCTCTAAGAAGATGATTGGTCACTCTTGTCCTTCTTAGAATGGATTGCCCCAACAAGGGCCTCGATCTCTTCCTTGATTCGTCCAAACACACCTGGTCCTTTAACTTCATCAATCGGAGTATCCTCATCAATATCATCACTTCTTCCGTGCGTCTCTCGATGATGGTGTGGAGATTTTCCACTATGAGTCATTGCTTCTAACTCTTCCATCACATTTGGTTCTGCTTTTACATCCTTTTCTGCTGCATCAAAACCACCAAAAAATGAAAATTTTTACATCAAAATTCTGTTTCAAGCAAAGCCCATCAAGAAAATCTACAAAATTAATCTTTATTGTGAAATAAAATACCTGATGATGAAGGATTTTTTGGGGCTGCTTTTGGTTCTGCCATTGATATTTCTCTGGATAAAAATTTGTGCCTCGGTATCGAAGTCTAATCTGGATTTTGGTTACTGGAGAATTTCATCAGTGCCTTTCATGGCTCATTATGAAGACGTGGACGGTTCAGATGCTACCCTTCACAATCGGCTTGTGCAAGTCACGTGATCGTAATTAGCAGAACCTGAGGACTCTACAAAATTATTTTTCCTTTTCTTTTTGAATTTCTTAGCCCACTCTCACTTGTTAGACATTCAGGAACTGACCGGTGTCAGTTGTTGTTGATGTGTTTGTTTTTGCTATGAAAGTTGAGTTTTGTGTATGAAATTCATAAAAAAAAATAAAAGTTAGAAATTTTTTTTTCTGTAATTGAGATTTGTATATGATTAAATTGTATATAATCTCATCTACACCACAATTACAACTATATCCATAACAACAATTATAAATATAAATATATTTTTATAATTCATTTGGGATGCAATTAAAATCATTTTCTTAAATTTTAATTTTTTATTAAAAATTATTTTTTTATAATTTTAGATCGTTTTGATATATTAATTTTAAAAATAATTTTTTAAAAATAAAAAAAATATTATTTTTATATATTTTTAAGTAAAAAATATTTTGAATTGTAATTATTACCATAATCTCAAATAATCCTATAAATCATTTGTTGGCTTTGAGTTTCCAATGATCTAGATTATAGTTGTTTTTAATTTATTTAGTAACTTTATTTATCAAACTTGATAGACCAATCGCCATCCATTTGAAACTATATCATTTCAATTTTGTATTAATTTTTTTTACTCTAAAACAACTTAGTTTTTTTGTTTTTTTTAACATGAAAGTAAGTCTTGTTGTGATAGAACTGGGTTGATTCATCTGATAAATTTGCAACTCGTATCTTGCATGAGTCATGTCTCATACCAGGTGTGATAACAATGGATGCTACAGAAGCAAAGATGAAAAGGTATATATTACTCGTAATTTTGACCAATTTACATTTAGCATGTGCTATGCTTTTGTTTAATTTAAGGAACGGATGAGTTCGTTAATGAAAGACAAAGCAGGAGGGCAGTCCTGCTACAACTGCAAGCCCCAGAAAGCAAACAACAGAACACTACAGGAAACGAGAAATATGAACACATTGTTTTCAGCAACTTTGGCTGGTAATTATGTATCTATCAATAATTACCTCCTCCCTGATTCCACATCTTCAACAGTCGTAGTCAAGTCACGTGCAAGATTTAGCCCTAAGAATCCATTTTTATCCTCTCCCTGGTTCTCAACATGCGAATCCATTGGCCATGCATTGAGTGGATTTACAGTAGCATCTGCTTGTGTACTGGCACGTGACTCAAGTTCCTGAAAGTAAGCATAAGGTCCCCAACCTGCATGCAGAAGATTGGATGAGCATGACACCGCAGAGAAGAAAACAGAATGCCAATTCATTAAGTCAGCCAGCTTTGATGACCGACACTTGTAAAGAATTAAGATCATCACTGATCAGGATGCAACTAGAAATGTTGCGTGCTCACTTAGAATACGCAAAGTTCCATGTCGATAACAATATAACTTGGGAATTAGCTATGCGGTGGATATGACAGCATGCTTTCGAACAGCAACCAGATTGGCGTAGCTGGTATATGGTTTTTTGGATCCAGCATTAGATGCTTCGCAGAGCGTTCTTGCTATCATAAATGCAGGCTGTACAGCAGCTGCTATTTTCTGGTTTTAGATCCATATACTCAAATAGGTACATCAAATGAATTTCTTTAGTTGTAACCTAGGTGCCTAATCAAAATCATATTCCTGAACAAGGAGAATATACTTCAAAGAAAGGATTCTTTAGCGAAGTACATCAACAATGCTCCAAGCAACATCCTTCCTGGACTCTAATCCTTATAAAATTTGCCAACAAATATACCTTGAGGATGATATGGTGGGGGGAAGAATTGCAAATAGCAAAATGTAGCGTCCACAAGTCCTGCAAAAGGCGCCTCTGCAATAGTTAGCCAAGGTAATCATCCAATAGACAACGAGGAAGTTTCATCTAAATGAGTAAATCAACAATGAAAAGGCACACACCTAAGAGACCTCCTGCAAAGACATCCTGCCAATGATGCCAGTAGTCATCCACTCGGGAAATGGCAACAAGACATGCAGCTAGTATTGGTAAGAAGACAATGCATAATTTTGCAACATGGCCCTTACAGTCAAATGCTTTTAGTTTTCCAGATAAGTAGAGTGATAGGAAACCCAGACCAGCGAAGGACCCTGGAAATGCAAATCATTATTCCTCTAAGCTAAAACGACTACCAAAAGTATCAAGCCAACTTAGCTTTGGTATTAAGTGTTCAATTTCTGCAGCTTATCTTAGCAAAATGCCCATGTTTCAATGCAGAAATTAAAATATTTCTTCATGAATAAGTGTAAAGTAACTTTGTGTTTACTGATTTCTTAATTGTTTTGTGAAGCAATTATCTGTAATGGTTAACTTACAGGAAGTGTGCCCGCTGGGAAAACTCTTATGCCCTTCCTTTATGATACTTTTCTCACCATGACATATCACATTTCCCAAGTGATCATAAACCTGTAGATCAATAAGGTTTCAGGAATTAAATTCTGTAACCATGAACGTGATGAAATGTGGAAAGGAGGTGAACCTAAATCAACCCTCACAGTAGAAAGTATCAAATAACTGCAGGTCCATAGAAGCATACATCCTTTCCATCAGGAAAACAACGCCAAAAGAAATCAGGTCGAGGCCGACCAACTGCATTTTTTATTGAATCTGTAACGACAGCTGTCACTAGAATGGAGAATAAGAGACCTGCTATGGTGAACACACATAATGCATTATGAGACCTCTTCCAGCAGATTGGATAAAAGAAATCTTTAACAAATAAACAGTAAGGAGAGGACAGGGTATGATCACCAAGTATGGCGTGATGAAGATCATAGACGTCTCTCCTATGATAGTAGATGACAAGGAATATCACCACAGGAAAAAGAACAGCATACATCTAATCATCAGAAAAGAGAAAGGGTCCCATCAATGTTGTTGTTACTCACTTGGTTCACTTGCAGTGTATGTTTTTATTTAGCAAAAGATGCCAGGATACTTACGGGGACAGCCCAAGCAGGCACTGTATTATCTAACAAAGGATATCTAAGATCTGTCATCATATCCTTCCCAACATATCGGTAAAATGGAGGCGTAAGATAGAGGATGACCTCTATCATGACAAGAAGCACAAGCATAAGCCAATCATGCATGTGTGTCTTTGCAACTGTAGCTCCATGGGATCTCACAGTATGTGTACCAGAACCAAGTCGGACCTCCCTCATCTGGACCTCCTTCATCTTGCACTGCTTGAAACCATTTAGCGTTATCTAATATCAGACTCTGAGCTCCAAATAAAAGGACATTAGGAAAGTAACATAAGGTTTGTTCGGTGAAATATGACCACAGGTATTAGAGTAAAAATTATCAGGAAGTTATTAATATTATGCCTTTATTTTACTGTTTATGAATTTCATGAAAGGTATAAGCACCTTTCTCAATGCATCTGCAACTCAAGCTACATAAATCACCATCCATACGAACAGTAAAGACTAAAGCAAGAAACCCAAGTTATGCATGCAGCAAGATTACTTGTCAAAGATTCACATCATAAATACACTTGCAGCAGAATTATCTGTTCTAGATCATGAATTTTGAGAGGACTCTCTTCATCACTAAACAAAAAATAGCACTACATAGGCATGCTATAATGATGCTTAAATATGCACAGCAAAATTGAATTGATATAATGGTTCTCTATAAGCATGAAAGTTCTAATGATTATAAAAAAGAGAAACTCAAGTCCAACAGCTTTTTCAAAACTAAAAAGAATCAGAAAAATAAAACCACTAGCATTCCCAACACAAACTCAAAACTTCACATTATTAGAGAGACCTTCATACCTAAATGAAGATCTAGAAGTAACAACTATACCTCTTCACTCGTGTTCTCTAATAGTGGGTGGTCAATTGGTGAAAATGACTGACTAGTATTTGCATTAATCTCCAGCCTGTTGACTGTCGCATCCTAGATAATCCCAACAAACCAATAATCAGGGTAAAAAAATGAAGATCCCAGTGATCATACAATTCAATAAGTTTAATAAATTGGCCTGATCTGGATTCACTTATGAGCAGATTGTGAGTTTATACCAAGTGTTTGGAAGCAAGCAAAGCATTCTACCCTAACTGCATACTCTACCCAGCTTTATACCAGGATAAAACATCATATATAATAATTATTGAACTTTTAATCAGAACCCAAAACTGTAGACACAGTACACAATAATAATAATAATAATAATAATAATAATAATAAACTATTAATCACAGCATCAAACCAAGAAATGTCAAGGCTGATATCCATCCAATACTTGGATGATCAGCATTCCATTAACTCACCAACCTTAGTTCCCTAAGAAGTGGCACTTTCTTACTTGTTTCCAGAAAATGCTACTCAGAAATGCCATCACGATAATGTTATTCATTAAAGCATTGTCCAAAACACTAGTAGATAAAAATATAGTGGATTAACTTATTGACAGTAAACAATGAACTTTAAGATCTTTTTATTAACAACTTGGAGGACAACCAACGGGGCTTTTCATGAAGGATTCCATCATCTCAAACTGCACCATAGGAGTAAGATTTGCAACACGAGTTCAGAATCTCAAGATAAGTTTTAGGACCTTCTTTATCAGTAGTCCTCTATGTTCAGATGCCATACAACTTGGGAGTCTAGTAATAGAATGCATCACCAGCTAGGTCATGGAATACAAGTAACTGGAAGTTCATGGGAAAAACCATATCATACTTTGTCATTGTTAGAATTAAATTAACTATTAAAGTAGTACCATCAACTAATATATGCATAGTCCTGCGCAGATAGCTTATTGGTATCTTGGTATAGATAATCAAACTTCCCATAAATTACAAGCAGTTGCTAACACAACCGTGCTTCCCGTTTCCCAAAACTAAATATAGCTCACAATGTACTGGATACGGTAAAACCTTTAGCTGGCATGTAGCTTATCTGCTCTTTTTAATGGCCATTATATGTGGCAGCTCGATTTCCTTCATTAACAACTTCTGTGCACCGGGTATACTCTCTTTTGTCAAGAAGTATAACAGCTGCACCCAGATTTTTCATTCTAGACTTTACACCTATCATCCCTTATCTGAAATGCACGCTGTTTTATCACCATAAGAGGTGGCTCATGGTATGCACACAACCGCTACACTTATCCTTCCTTATCCTCTCATTGAGCTATTAACTTAACACAATTATCTGTCACCGGCATCTTAAAACCAGATTTAGGACTGCCACCTCTCAAAACTGAAGTGATTAACCAAAGACATGGTTATTCATTCAGAAGCATCTCTGAGAAACTAGAGATTGGATCTAAACTGCAATGCACAAAATCCCCATGATACAGAAAATTCATTGAACTGTTTCCTAAGGGCTTCCAACTTACTTCTATGCAGATGTCCACTATTGCAAAATAAAGATATAGGGTACGAGTTCTGAAAACCTCTAGCAAAATCTAATATTTCAACGAAGATGTGGAAGCATCTCTGAGTAATTGGAGATAGCAGATTAACCCAATGCACCAATTTAAAGAGCTACTTCTCATATCAATGGGCTCCAGCTCCTCATTTGTCACTTTGACTACTCTACTAAAGCCTAGACAGTAAATCTACAGTATAACCATATGTGGTAAAATTAACTGAATGCTATATGTACATCACACAACCCTTTATCCTTTTCATTTTACTTCACCAAACAAGGCAAGGGTCAAAACGAAGATTCAACTTATGATGTATTAAACCTAATTGAGACTTACAAAGCATTGTAATCAAGAGAGCATGTTACAAGTTCATGATCTAGTATTCCTCAAAGAATGGCTGTTTCTAATCAAACAAAATAAAGACCAAGACCCACACGGCATAAAATAAATGCCCAAGTATGAAGCTGTAAAGGACCATCGGCAACTCATCAGAAAATACATAATATTTTGAGGAAGGATTCAACTAAGGCCTTCCCTTAGTCCCTATTCAGACAATTAACAGCAAGCATACTGAAACCTCTTCAATTAATAGCAGTGAATAGCAAGTAGCTTGAGTTTTTCAATGTTTTCATCATTTCAGTGGTTTTATTACATTAAATTTTAATTTGCTTTTGCTTGCAGATTTCAAGTTTCAACTCAGATAGAGCAAACATAAGTAGAGACTTCCTCATTCCCCTCAAAACTCCAAAACCCTCAAACTCAAATTGCTGCATCAACAATGATGTGATCTCTCACCACACAAGTCCAAATTAACCCACTCCTAGTTTCACAGAACTGCAATATAAATGTCTCTTACATATATTTTTCTGTTAGTAGAGAAACCCAAAAGAAGTCAAATTTATTGACCCATCAGTCACATTCTGCTACACCAAGTACAAAGCCAGCAACATCAAAAACAACAAAGCAAACCCACATAAGATAATCCAATTTAACAGCTAAAGACTAAGAACAAAACAGAAAGAAACAACCTTTTTAGAAAAGAAACACTAACCTGAAAGATGCTTTTAAAATTCTTAAAGCAAGAAAGAGATCCATAATCCCACAAAGGCATTGTACTCATCCACCGAACAAAACAACACAATACTGCAAAGACAAACTAAAATATAATGTTCCAGAAAGTGTCAGCATGGTATAGGAAGCTTCAATGAGTCAACAAGGTTCATATGCAACACACAAACAATGTCTTATCCACTTTAAAAGATAATAAAGATGAAGCTTCTTTTTTATTGGTTTAATACAAAAAAGTGTGAGTCCCAAAATCTACTGCAGCTTCATGGCTGAATCAAACTGGTTTTTAAAGGCACTTCAGTTATAATTCCTTTTAATTTTTACATGGTTATATTTTAATCTTAGCTGTACATTTTTTTTTGAAGGATATTGTTAAAATTAAAGTTTTTAAACCTGACATCTCATTGACTTGATCTTAAACCCGAGTCATATATTTTATTCGGGTCACATAGGTCAATCATAATTTCTTTTATAAATCAAAACATTGTTGTTTTGGTTTTAAAAAATAGCTAATGAGTTATATTCATGTTTTATTGAGTCAATTAAATTAATTTATCGAATTATTTAGGTTTGTTATTTTTTTTATTTTTTAAAAATCTAATCCAGTTTTAGTTTTGATTCAACCAAATCCTAGATTTACCTGTAAAACAAAGTTAAATTTTAAAATTATGGTAGAAACTTACAAAGCTAAATCTTTAATAAAAAAAAAACCCTAAATTACAACCCGACAAACACGATGAGAAAAAACCACTTATTTCCAATATAATTATCAACAACAATATAAATAAAAAAATAAACAAAAAAATATATTCAAACTAGCAAAAAGATTTAGATGGAGAGCAAAAAACTCTATAAGGATAGTTAGAAAAATAGTTAAGTTGAGAAGGCTTTGCATTATTTTTACATAGATTACTTATTATAGGTGGATTCATTTTGAAGATTTAAAACAGAGATGATCATTTTGCGGTTGAATTTGGTGTTTTACTTATTATAAACTATCAAATTAAAAAAAAAATCAAAACCAATCTAAACCGACCAGTTCGGTTCGGTTTTTTATGTCCAAAACTGAAAAAATTATGTTCTTTTTTTAGCTTTTTTTGGCTTTGTAATGGGCTTTATGATGGGTTTTTAATGGATTTCTGATATTGTTTAATTTTCTTTTATGATTTCAAAGTATATTTAATTTTTTTTCCACTGAATATTTATTTGTATTAAATTGTTATTGTCAATTTTGTGTTTAATAAGTTTTTTGGCCACTAAATATTTATTTATATTAAATTATTTGTGTCAATCTTGTGCTCAATATATTTTTTACCTTCTTAATATTTTTCTTTTGTTATGTTTGAGTGAGTAGAACTCATATCTCCTGCTTCAGAAAAATTTAAATAGCACACACTAATAAGTTAAAATCCAAATTACAAAGTATTGCCTTCAAAGATCTTAAAGAAAAAACAACAAATAACATTATTATAAAATACTTCAAGCCAAAAAAAATAATCTTCATTTGCATATAATCTCAATAAAAAAACACATTAAGAACATTGCACTTTGATTCCTGAAATTCGAAATTTATAATTATAACATGATAAATTAAATTAAAATATATAAAAATAAAAAAATAGTATTTTTACCATATGTTTTCAATAAATGCATTAATTTGTGAACTAATTATCATCCGTTGCTAGATGTAACTTTTCATCAAATTCTACAAAATAAAAAAGTAAGCATGTTAGAATAAAAATGCATTAATTAATAAATTATAAAATAAAAGGTATAAGTTTATAAGAAAAATTATCTGATTCAAGGTTTTCATAGGTTTCAAAATCATTCATCAAGGTTTTATTATTAGTTGGAATTGGTTCATGATGCAACCAATTTTAACAACAAATAAGTGCTTGAATTGTTACTAGAGATAAAGAACTTTGAAATTGATCGAGTATATGACTGTCTGTGCTAAAGGCTGATTCGAAAGCTACTGTGGATATAGGAATAGCTAGAACATGTTGTGCAACTTTTGAAATTATCTTATATTTTGAAGTATTAATCTTCCACCAACCCAAAATATCTAATTTATCATCATTAGAATCCTCACAACCATCAACCAAATACCACTCAACCTCAATTTTATTTTCCATACTATCTTCCTTATGTAAGTGCCTTTTGAATCAAGATAAAGTGTTATCATCCACCACTTCATCGACTTTCAAATAAAACTCATAGAAGCTTACCAAATTATCTTTTACCTTCTTTGTTAGCAATTGTGCTTTGTCATAATCATACAACTCACCAAAATAAAATTTCATATATTTCAACTTGAGACGTGGATCTAAAACATTAGCCATATACAATAAAAGAATTTTATTTGCTTCACAACCCCAATACTTCTCAAACTTGAATATTATGTTCATCATCATTTCGCTTAAAATATTATCTCTACTTTTACATAATTGCAACAAGTTTGTATACATGTATATCAATTCATTAAAGAAAGAATTTGATGTGATATGCAATGAACCAGAAAATCTCAATGTAATCATGTAAAAGATTTTTAAAAACTTTAGCATAGTTCTATCTTTTTCTCAATCCTCTAAACTTGGTGGCCCTATGTTTTTTTATTCCCCTTTAAATTAACCTCTAAAAAGTAACTCATATACGTAGGTTCACTTTCAACTAACCTCACAAACATATTTTCAAACTTTTTAGCAGCTTCTAACATAAGATAAGTTGAATTCCATCGAGTTGCAACATCTAAACACAATGATTTCTTACACTTTATATGTAACTTTTCTGCACACTTCTTAAATGCAAGTTGCCTAAAAGGTGAAAGTCTCACAAACCTAATTGCATTTTGAATCTTAACAACCAAAACATTAATCTCTTTCAAGTCATCACAAACAATGAGGTTTACAATGTGTACACAACATCTAACATACAAATGCTCATTTGACAATATATTAGGTGGTCAATCTTTCATCACATTCTTTAAATATGAAATAGTAACACTATTAGAGCTTGCATTGCCTATTATCACAATTAAAAGTTTATCAATCCCCCATTCTAATAAATAATTCTCAATAACTTGACCAATTATCTCAACCATATGATTGAAAACTTGATAAAAATTAAAAAAAAAATTACGCAAATTCCACTCATTATCAATCCAATGAGTCGTTAAGGACATATAGTTAATATTTTGAATTGATGTTCATGTATATGTTGTTAAGTATAATTGTTGACCCTTAAGAGCTCTCTTTAATCTTTTCTTCTCTTCAACATAAAGTTTCAAATAATCTCTCATAACAATGAAACGAGAAGGAATGTCAAATCTAGGTTGCACGATCTTAGAAAATAATATAAATCCCTTACCCTCCACAAAATTAAAAGGCAACTCATCAATTACAACTATTTTTACTAGTGTTTGTCTATATTCATTATAATAATAACCTATTGCCTTACGAGTTCCCACACTTTGATCTCCTAATGCACCTTTTGCTTTATTAGGTTCTAATACCAAATTTTTTAGCTTCTTATCAACCACAAAAAGAAATTTTTTTGCATACCTTTAAATTACTCCATATATTACTTGTCCCATTAATAATAGTATGATATGTATAATCCTTTCCATAGTAATTACATTCAGCTCTAGAGGTTGTAAGATAACCATTAAGTTTTGTAAAATAATCTCAAATTTATGACTTTTTTTTATCATCAACTCACCATTAAGTTTTGTAAAATAATCTTAAATTTATGACTTTTTTTTATCATCAACATTTATTTTCCTTGATGTAAGGACTTGAAGTTGTTAACTTTTATTATCCATGGCGGATCCTGTAGTAGTTGATGTTGGGTTAGTGTTTGAAGTCGGGGCATTGATTGATGTTGAGGTAATGCCAGTGGATGAACCATTTTGATTTTAAAGGTTTTTCATCTGTAATTACCAAATGAAAACATGTTAATATTTATGCATGTTGAAATATATAGTATTTAGCTTTTAAGAAAGGTCTATAGGCTAGATAAAGCGACGAAAAACACAACATTTACCAAATGAAGAACTCAAAAAATAATTAATTGTAATGTTATGATATAACAGCCTACAACTATGGGTAAAAGAACCCAAAAAATAGCAAAACATCAATAACAAACATTCAAGAAAGAAAATAACAAACTCAAAAACCAAATTGAAAAGTTTGAATTTAAGACTGCACAAACCAGAAAAAGTAATAGACAGTCAACTGGACTTAAAGGTTAAAGCACATAAATAACAATGAATCTCGATAACCTCACTTGGAAAAATAGGATAACAAGAAAATAATGAAGAAGCAATAGAAAATTGTAAAAGAAATAGGATAACAAGAAATAATGCCCTACAAATAAAGATAAGATGACATCATTAACAAGAAGCAAAGAGAATAAGATTTACAGTCAAGGTTGTATTTATTATATGAAGAAATTAATCCTATAACAAGCATGTTTTACCCTGATACAGAAATGACTAGCTTTTAGCCCCATGTTAGCCTACAATACCGATCACTATTTTTAACCATTTATTGTTAAACTTTGTTAAATGATTTTCATAACAAGCCAAACTAGACTATATTTATGCCTTAAAAATAACAAAAAGCATAACGAAACAGACTTAACCAGAGCATGAAAGAAAAGATTTAAACAACAACCCAATGTATGAAATAAAGGCAGGTTTGATTGTAGAAAAAGAACATGAATATTAAGTAATGAGGATTGTTAATGTTAATCTATCATTGAATAGAAGGATTGCATGTTCAAAGGAATATGGAAAAATTTGACTCTTGTCAATGTTAAGTAATCAACTATTTATTAAAGATTAGGAGAACGAACAGTCATTAAAGTAACAAATAATAATCTGCCTCAATGTATGAAAGAAACAGGGAAAAGTGAAAGAAGGGGATATGGTATTTAAAACTGTATTTTAATCAGTCAACAATTGTGGCAAAACAATAGGGTAAAAGTTGATCCTCTGATCCATAGTGGCAACTGTTTCAACAAATAAATAAGGCTGAAATATAGATCCAAATCAATAACTTCTCAACAAGATATATAAGCCATATAGTTATATGAAATTCAAGGTAACATCCAATAAGTTGGTAGGTGTTAGGATGCAAAAAAAGCTATGAACCACAACATATCTAGTAA